AAGAAAGATGAAAACTGGTTTGGTTTTTATGTGCTTGCTTGCTCTGAAAATCAAAGCAGATTGCATGTCCTCAATGGAGAAACTCACACCATATAGGAACTGTCAATAGCAGGATAAAGAACCTGTGGAAAACCCTACACGTAGGTAGGTGTCTGTCTAAGCAGCCCCTCTAGCACAGATCAGTGAGAGTTACACTGAAATTAGTAGGAGCCATTTTTCCTGTCATGTAACTCAATATAGTTTTGCAAGTAATTTAACGTGAAAGAAAATCATAAAAGGTCCTTTCATTCTCTATTACTTATTTGGTAGGTTGCCTTTAGAGCAAAATTACTGAGAACAAACTTTGTGTTTCTTAGGCTACAGGAACGGAGATTTTCCCTGGCTTTCACACACTACTATACAAAAGACACAGAATGGCCCTTAGCTGCTAAAGCATCACAATTTAACTTAGCATAACCTGTCTCCAGAACTTTGTATTATGCAGACGAATGCACAAACCCCAACACTCTAAAACTGACTTTTGTGTTATATATTAGGAGGATGCTGTAAATAAAATGCTTCTGCTTGTCAGAATTGAGCTGAGTAACACTTGAAAAATGCAGGACACCAGTTTTCTTCAGGACAGCCACTTCTGCAAACTGCTATAACAACATTCAACATTAAACTTTTCACCATCAGTGACAAATAGGAAGGCTTGATACAAAGTACTGGAGAGCTGGCTGGGAACTGTGATTTCTGCTCTGCAAATAGCTTGCTCTGTGTCCCATAGGTGCTAAAGTAAAAATAAGCATTAAAAAAAGAGATCTTGAGCCATGATCTCATTTTCTTTAACATTTAAGAAGCCTACCCCCACAAATAAAATGCTGAAGTATGAAATCTTGCTTTTCAATTACTCATGGCAGCTCACTAAGGACAACAGGTACCAAAAGGTACCATTCTTCTCCTTGTTTTGATGCAAAGAGTAAGGATAGAGGTGTCTGCAGGTCTGCAGAGTCAGCTGGAACTCAGACCTCCCAACCACGGGGACAGATTTGGGGTATCCTGACATATCTACTTTCTTAAGACAGGAGTCTGGCTTTAAATCTTTTAGCTGGAGGAGATGATTAAGGCAGACTAAGTGGTGCTATGTGCAAGAAGGATGCAAAAAGCAGTATCTTTATGTAGACCACCTTCATGCTAACAGATATAATTGCAGACATTGAGATCTTCCCAAATATGATTACAGACCAAGTGTTTTTTTAAGGGGGACCCCCCCCAACTAACCCTAGGATGATAAAACTGCTCTTTTTCATAGTCCTAGCAATTCCATTGGCTGGCTGACCTATATTCTCACAAAGACAGAATTATGCGATGCAGATCTTTGCACAGATGATCATTAAAAATGATGTTAATAGAGTATTTGATAGCTTTTTGAGAGGTGAAGTAGGTGTGAATGACAGAGAGATCCTTTCAAGATGCACAGGTTGTCTTACACTACAATTGCCTGTATTACTGTAACTGTAGCATAAAACATGCAACTCCTACATGAGTCCCTTCACCTGCAGATTCTGATTGCTCTGCAGGACTCTCATTCTACAGATGGAGAAACACTCCTCAGAGAACTGAAGCCACATGGTCCAGCTGACACACTAGGGCAGTCAAGCAGCAAGGAATGGTGCTGGCTCCTGGTTCCCAGCACACTGCAACACTTTGAAAAACTTAACTGCAACTGTCCCCTTCACTCCAAAGCACTGCTGAGATACATACTAAATTAAATGCTTGCAGTGACCATTTCTTGCACATTCACCAACAAAAGCTGCATAAACTGCATTTGAAAAGATGTATTTTACACAAGTTTATAGTAGAACTCCTTCCTGTATAGCATGAAGTCCCAGCTAACACTACATTACTCGCTACACCTTGTTTTACTTACTTTCTTCTTAATGTACCTATAGCAGCAGCAACCAGTAGCATGACATAATGAAACCTATCAATTATTCACTTTAACTGCTCTCCACTGACCAAAAATGCACTTTGAGATCTATCAGGAGGCACCTCTGCTGACAGTAGGACAGGGTCTGGGTACAAGGGCTATTGTTAAGTCGATTAAGTAGGCCCCAAAATAGACACAACTTTCTAATTAAATCTCAAGCTTGAATCACATCCAGACCCAGATATGAAGCCAGAGCTGTGCAAGTGGAACGTGTTCAAACTGGCCCACACTGCCACGCTGGCAGACCACGAGCTTTTGTACAGAGCACAATGTAGGAACCCAACTTGGAAGTGACAGCATGTAGGACTACTTTGGGCAAGTGACCACCACTGAGACATCTCTTGGCTCAGCACAGAAAGGACAAAAAGTGGAAGGAACTACTAGTGTGACTGGAAGCTGCTGGGGTTAAATAGCACACCAATACCACAGAGCTCTGTGGCAAAAGGTGAAAAGACTACATAAGCAGATGTGAGACACAATTCCTTGTGTACCAGCTAAGTACCAGAAGCACTTCACGAGGGAGCAAAATCATAGCTTACCCCCCCCCCCCCCCATGTCATATATAACAAAAACATAGTGAAATGTTACCATGCTTTCTGCTGCTGCCTGCAGCCACAAACCCAGATTTCACTATCCAGAAGATGGCCTGTGTTTGGTTTGAGAAGACTGTGAAGAAAAGGCAGTTGTAGAGTTGGTATCTATGTGGGAGGGCAGAGGATTTCCCTAACAGAACAGCTAGAGTGAAGTATATATATATGTATATCTATAACTGTGTATATCCCTATACACATCCCTATATCCATGTGTTTAACAGCTGAACATCATGTCTTTAGAAAGAGAGGAAAAAAAAAAAAAATCATCTGATTTCCACCAGTCTCTCTGCTCTCATGGCATAAATCCTGCACTCTAACAGAACTCAGAGGAAAGGTAGTTATGCTATCTCTGACTTCAGGAAGAAGATAGCAGCTGTCTAACTGTCATCCAAGGATGTCAGCAAGTTCCAGAAGTTCACTGTTTGTAAGACAATGATACAAGGCAATCCCCCCTTTAACCTGTTGTAAAATGATCCTCCTGCCTTTTGATCTGTGCCTTGTTGTAGCATCGTGAGATTTGGTGAAAAGCAGTTCAACTCCTCTACTGCCTTCATGGTTTTGCAAATTTTGATCATTTTCCTGCCACCCTGATCATTCTCTGCCTCCTCCTTCTCCCCTCCAAACCCTGGGAGATGATATTGTTGAGTTTAGTATCTCCACTGGCTCTTCTTTACCTACATGCTGTTAGAGCAGATCATTGTGGCATCATTTCCCTCTGCTGAAGCCATGACCACTCTCCACAGATCATGTCTGACACCATGTGCTCAGTGACCTTTCTGAGATGGACTTACAGTCCATCTTACCAGGACTGAAACCAGTCAGTGGCATGTGTTTCCCAGAGTATCTTCTATAGTGATTTGTTTAGACATCAAAACCAAAGGACAACCATAAGCTGATGGTATTAGTCCCAGCGTTAAGCCAATGGTCACATGATCTTAAGTGAGAAACAGCCCTATTAGCAGTGAAATACAAGTTACTCAGTAAGACAAGCTGAAACAATGTAAGCATAGACCAGGCCTTGTACACCATAGAGATACACACAGAGCCACTTGACTTTTCAACATGTAGGACCTACATGTAGGGACAGCAGCACCGCACCACCCAGACCCTTGTGTGTAACTGAATGCTCACAACAAAGCTTCTCCAGCAGAAATCTGGCTGAGGCAAGAGTGTAACTAAAGGACACAAAGCCTTTGCTTTTGTACCAAGAACCACATGAATGCCGTCTCAGAGCACTAAGGCCAAAGTCAGGGGCTTCCATTATGATTAATCATCTGCAATGTTGACTTCATTAACTAAATAAAAACTTGTTACAGAATAGAGCAGAACTGACATTTTTTGCAGTTTCTTGTTTAAAATCAATGTCAGTGATTGAATAAGACTTACTTCTCATTCTTCTGCTATAAGAAAAGGTCAAACTAAACCTGACCCATGAACCGGTTTCAAAATGTTTCCCAAAGCTAGAACTAAACTTAAGCTGCTGTTTTGGAAATTCTGCTGATCCCAAAACGGAACTGAACCAAACCAAAGACCTTTCCAGCTCAGAACACCAGATCAGCTGAAAAACGACATCCCCTGGCAGGCTCTGCACAACAAGAAGACAACTTGACTTTAAAGAATGCTTTGAAAACCACTGACTTGCTCAGAGTCTGTCCTTCCTTGTTACACCATGCAAACCTTCTTCCCTGGAACCAGCTACCCATGGGCACTACCTCCTAAGGTGAGATCCATGTAAACTACTTCTTGTGACTCCTGTTCCTCAGGGAAGAAGACTAGTCTTAGTTTCCTCCAGCAATACCACAACTATACCTAGTGACAGGGAGATACACACGTGCACAGGTAACGGGTTGGGGTTTTTACAAGGGAGAAAGGGGATTTTACTGCCAATGAGCTCCCACTCCTCTGGTTAGTGCTGGCATCACTTCATTCCCATCAGCAGCATGGTCTCCTATACTAAATTTAAAGTATTTTAAAAAATACAGGTCCAGGATAGGTCCAGGACTAAAAATTATGTTAATGTGGAAGAGGAGGAGATGGAGATTAACACTTCGGCTTGCTGAAGGCCTGCGCTGAGAGTCTGCGAACTGAAGAATAAACTGCTTGGAATCAGAGCTCGACTACAACAGTTTCAATCACAGCTGGATCTGACCGAGAACAGATTCAAACATACTGGTTCAATCCCTGGTTATAAGTGTCTTGTAATGATAAGCCATAATCAGCAATTAGGAAGTGTTCATGGTGAGGCAGTGCCAGAATTCATGTAAGGAAGGTCAGGTCTAGGCCCAGGTTTCACACAAATTCCAAACTGGAACAATAATCTTTATGCAGAGCAAACATTTCAGTATTGACACAGCTAAAACACAGCAGAGATGGTGAAAAAAAGCAGGAGGCATTTGCCATTTATATGGAGATAACGAGGTATACATGTTCCTCACCATAAAGTTGTTATAGATTCCATTGGGCATCATGGCAGTTGTACAGTCCTTGCATTAATCCCTGGCTATATTCTGCAGGGTGTATCAACAGAGTGAAGTATTCATGAGCTACAAATATGACAGGAAACAGATGCACCCTGTATAAGTAATACATGATTGTGCCAGTGTTGCTCATAAGCACTCTATTGAGAAGTCTCGGCTGAGTTCAGGTAAAAGGTACTTGATGAGAGAGAGTACAGCTTTAAACTTTCTGGTATTACCTTCTTTCGGGGAATTTTCTCTAGAGCTTTCTCTCCGATCATTTGCTAACAACTCACCTCCATCCTCTAATTCAGGGTTTCCAGATGACAGTAAGAAGTGCAAACAGTGCATGAAGCTGATGAAAAAGTGGCTTTTACACTCGTCTCCTTTAAGCCGGTGATTACCTCAAGCCCAGCTCTCCGTTGTCTGTTTTGTGGACAGTCTTCCAGGGTAGAGATTCACTTGGGACAAAGCTACTCTTAAGAAGGTTCTGAATGTGGAGAGACATAAACACTGCAGTTGTGGCAGGGTGAGGGCTACAAGCTGGCTCTGAAAGGAGCATGCAAATATGGCAATGAGCCACAGGACATGAAAAGGGCTTTTAACTGCAGAATGAAAAGAGACATAACATCTATCCTGAAGTCATCCTAAGACAAAGTGCATCTTCTTTTCAGCACTGGCTAAGAGGCAACATTTTCAGTTCACAGTTGGCGACTCCCAAGAGTACTGCTGGGATGTTCCATTTTATATGACGTCTTTTAAGACTACAGATGACAGCAATGTTTGTGAACAAGAGCTTTAATCAGTAGAGAAGTTTGTAGTCTGGATCACAACTGTTCACACCATTAAGAGTTTTCTCAGAATTTTGGAAGATGTCTTTTGGAGTGGTTTTGTTTTTTCTTCCAAGTAGTATATTAGTGTGTTACAGCTTTAAACTGATACACTACTCTTTAAATGAGATACTACTAATATGACGTATCGTATGTTCATGGCACAATCCTGGCTTTCTCCACCTGGTTGAATAAGCTCCTTTCTCATTATATACTCTCTATTCCTATGTCATCCTGCCAACTGCTAGCTAAAGTTCTGTTTAATTTGATTGCAAGAGACAATGCACAAGAAATGGAATAACAAAATCAAAAGTAATGATTTTGTAAACTGGTAATTGTTTAATTCCCTTCAGAGTAATAAAATTTTATAAAAGGAATATGAACAAGCTGAAAAATCAGGGTATGGCCATTTGAGCTTCTTTTTGGTTCCTTTGAGAGAGAAAACACTAATAATATGTTGCGGTTGAATGAAGTCTCCTCCGATTTCTCTCATTTCCTCACTTTCACAGGTAGGAAGGAGAGAATAATATATGCATTTAAACTATTGGCCTAAAAATGACAGCTCTAAATCTTTGGATACGCTGCATACTTTAGGACCTTGTTATTCCAGGTTCACATGCTGGCAGATAAAGGGCAACATCCTTGTCTATATGGAGACATAATGTGAGTAAACTACTTTCTCTTCTTTCTACTTAACTATTAGACACACTTTTTTCTGGTAGATCTCAGACTTGTTGCTCCTGGGGGATGAGCCAAAGTAACCTACTTGCAAGGCAATTTGCAGGGAAGAAATGAAGCGAGGGTGATGGTGGGTGGGATATGGATACCAGGATATAAAAGTAGGACTTAATAAGTTTGTTTAGACACAAAGTGTTGTAAATTTAATAATATCTTTAGTTTCTGTGTCTCCAGGAAACACAGGCCCTGAAGGCCAACTTTCAAATGGGGCAAGTTATGCCAGATAGGGTTTTCCCAAATACTTAAGGAAGCTGCAATCCTGACTTCTGTTTCAATCAGTGGGATTTAAACACTTAACTTCAGTGATTTTGAAGTTCCACTAACCGCTTGTCTTTTTAGTCATCTAAATACTCTTTTGACTTTTAAGACATCCATATTGCAGAAATGGAAATAAAGTGACAGCAGAAAGAAAGGCAGCATTAAAATAAGAGCTAGGCTTTTCCAGGGATGGCTGATAATGTTCAGAGGTGGTAGGAAAGCGGAGTCAAAATCTGAGCAATTATACAGCTACATATGAGCAAGTGTCAGAGACTCCGTCTCCGCAGCATTTGCCTCTGTTGTCCTGAATCACTGTCCAGACAAAAATAGCTACCAATGAGTAGCAACCGATCCAGCTACCAACAGTAGATAAAGCAAAATGTCGAACAAAAAAGGTCCTCCCTCTGTTGGTGTTAGTACTTTACACAAATTTGACCACACTTTCCAATCTGAACTAATATAGATGAGCTGTGATCACTGCAATCAATGTAACCCATGTGAAAGAATCTTTCAAACCTCCAGGGATCGGTACCAGCTTACCAGTGAGGAGCAGAGTGATGCTGGCTCTGAAGTACCTTATCAGCATTTCATGACAGAAATCTGAGAAGAACCTCAAACATAGACACAGATTTCCCAGGCCCAGGGTACGTTCAGATATGCAAGCAATCTCAACTGGTATGGAAGATGAGAGGAATTTCAGCATGTTATAGTGGTTAAACCTGAGATGGCCTATGTCCACTCAAGCCAGTCACAGGCATTTTCTCAGGATGAAACACTAGCACTGTCACTGCTTTTTTTCTGACCAAGCCAGGCAGATAATGACATGGATCCTTCTTAAATTACCACTGCTGTGGCATCCTACATAATTGCTACAGATTCAGAAGATAATAACAATCTCCAGCTGCCTGTAACATTGCAATTAAAATCTCTACTAATCATTGGTGTAAGTTTGGAGGTACTGCACAACAGCACAGAAACCAACCTTTCTCATAATTAAATGAAGATTACATCATCATACACATAAAGCCTAAAAGATAACCATCCTTGTTCAATTATAACATATTTCTTATTCTGATGAGAAAAACATAACAAAGTTTTGCTTTAACAAGGTGAAATGCAAAAATATCTGGTCTCAAAGGAGATTACTATTATTACATACTACACTTTTTTGTAGTGATGTAATTTAAATATCAGGTAAAAGATATCCGAAGAATTTAAAAACTGATTAAAGCATATACAGATTTCTATAGAGAAAAGGAGGTGTCATCATGAGCATTGTATTTTATTAACTTTCACATAGCTGAAAAAATGATCCTAATGAAAAGGTTTGGGTATCCTTAACCTAACCAATTGTTCAGCTACATGACCTCTCTATTTACTTACATCATTATTAATCTAGCTCGAATCTTGACTTCAGTGTAGGAAGGGACATGCAGTGATTAGGTTCAGAGAAACCAATTGCTTATGCGTGAGCTGTTGATCCTTTTGGTTCCAGTTATAGCTTTAATTCATTTGTCCCAGTGAGCTGGGCTTACCAAGCTCGACTAATAAAGATATAGCTTTAGCCCCCAGTCATACCAATGTGTGTTTTGATACAGCGTCTTTTAAATTAATTCAGAAACTTGCAGTTTCAAGAGAAAATTATTATCTTATCATCCTCCTGATTTCTCGATACAGTGAATAATAGAGCTATTAAAAATTAGTAAGAACAGAAAACTTCCTTTAATTGATGAGTCAGTTCTGGGAAATCAACATATTTGTGTAAAACTATGAAACAAAAGCTTTACTTCCTTGCACTTCTATGATGTTAGATAAATGCTGTAATAAAGTATCAGTGTAACATACTTTTCCTTTAGTTTTCTTTAGGTGTCTTAATTATGACCATGCAAAATAGAAAGGATTATCCAACCAGAGTAAAAAACACAACAAATGTTATGCCACTGCCTAGGTACAGTATGACTTGCTAGAAAAGCAAATCTTCTTTATGAGAATATATAAGATTCCTTCAGTGAGGTACTTAGTCTTTTTTCCAGAGGAATCGGTGGCAGAGCTGGGACAGGGGATGTGCAGTGATTAGGTTCAGAGAAACCAATTGCTTATGTGTGAGCTGTTGATCTTTTGGTTCCAAAAAGTTTGTGAGCTCTTGTCTCACAGAGCTTCTCCCCACAATTCCTTTCCCAGTGGTAGATGCTTAAAGACTATGATCAAATGATCCTTATCCTCTGTACAAGCCTGTCAGAGCTATACCAGGAAGTGGATTTCTCATTTTCTTCATTTTAATGAGCCTAAGAATGAACAAGTCAGTCTTCTTCAGCAAAGCTCGCACTCCTGACAGCAGGGTGTCAACAGAAAAAACCCTGCCATGCTCTTTTCCAATGCTTTGGAGCACTAGTGCCTCATCTACCCCTATTTTATAACTTATTCTAATACAACTCCTGAAATGTCATTTGAATACCTTTGCTTTGGCCTTCAACAAAGTCCACAGGTCCTGAACACAATAGGAAATACCAAAATCATCTGGTCAGAATAATGTGTGAATTAAGGAAAGCCCATTACAACTCATAACTTTGAGCAATTCAGCAACCCCCTATGTCTGTGAGTTGTCAGATCTATTCCATAATACAAACACAAAACACAGAGAATACAATAAGCTGAAAACATCTGCTAAATATACTGATTTATACCACCCAGAAAGTTGCCAAATGTTAAATTCCTGCTGAATATTGTTTAGTTATTCCACTGAATTCTAGTTAATGTAGTTATGGGCTTTATTAGAGGATTCACATATTGTCTTTATAGCTTCAACATCTATTTCAGCTTCAGCTAGAATTCATGGAAACACATTCAGATTCCTTCAAAGGCTCTGCATGAGGCACATTCTGGGTCAGAGTCAACTCTCACACAAGTAAATCTGGATTAACAAAATCCACACAGGCTAACATACCGGTACTAGCACAATGCAAGCAGTAAAAATGGACTCGCATCCACTTATTTTAAGGAAAGGAGCTCCACCATCCCAAACCATACAAAATCCTTGGACCTGGGAGAGTAGAATGCAGAAAATCAAGATAAGAAATTAATACTCCCCGGAAGAGATATAAAGGTAATGACTTAAAAGTGACTTCATTGTTCCCTCTTCCTTACAGCAGTTACCATGGAAGGGAAGAGGAGCAGAAGGCTGAAGTTTAGCCGTTTCTCCGCTCTCAATCTGATGTGACAATTCTG